TAGTGTAAAGTGAACTGACTGTATATTTTGTGGGCGAAATGCGACAGTCAATTGTGCACAGCAATGTCCCACAAATAATCGTGGATTGAGTGACCAAAATATTATTTATTTATTTTGAAGGGATTATTACCCCCCAGAAAGCGATCCAACAATTGACTAACAACCAGGTTTCTACTTACTGCTAGGTAAACAGAGGCATATGGAGTAAGGAAATTTGGCTTAGGTTTCACCCTACCCGAGAATTGAACCCGGGTCCTCTCACTTGCGAGGCAAGTGCTCTAACCAATAAGTTACAGTATTCCACTCTATTGAACCGAAGGGAGGATAACAGCAGAGGCCAATCAATGTCACATTCACGCACATACATTCACACTAAGAGATGCCAGCAATGGCACGTCAGCAACGGCCAGATCTCAATACCCTGAGCACCCAAATAAACTGTTGAAAAGGCAAAAAATATTGGCCCTGCTTTGCCTTCAGGAGTCAGTGAGGAAAATTAAAATAAAAGTCTGAATTTAATTGGGACAGGTTATATTGTATAATCTTCGCTGAGATGTCTGCTGGGGCTTGAACCCACATTAGCTCTTGGAGTATTCCTTTAACTACAGACCTCATTTTAGCTCTGCTTCAGGTGTGAGCAAAGCAACTTTTAGTAACTCCTGTCTCACTGGAGCCAGTTCTGAATTCCCAAAACACTCAATTTAAACTCTTAAATATGCATTACCTGTTTGAGTTGGAGTTTAATCACAATATAGGGAAACTCTGTTATAATACTCCCCAGTCAAGCGCTGTCTCGCTTATACCACTGTTGGCCTCTTGAACCGTGATAACTGGATGCGCAGTTATACCAGTCTTCAGGCACTGACTAGCTGGCTTCCCAAGCTCAAAAAATGCCTGACTTCCTGGTGACCAAAGGACTAACTTGTTACGTGCAGGAAATGTCGTTGTTGCAATGTCCTGCCTGCTGTGCACAAGACAAAAAGAATGTCACTTAATGAAGAAAGTGTCAGCAGCACTTCCAGCATATTGGATGTGGTGACCTAGAAGTCAACCTTTTTCTTTCACTTCAGCCACATCAATGGTGCTAAGATCGAACCCAGCTAACCCAAGCTTGCTGGTGCACTAACAATTATAAAAACTGATTTGTGTAGTGACGTTGTTTGCAGCAACACAATGGGGTCTACCTTATGCTGATGGCTAAAATTAGCAATCTTTCTCATTATAAGCACAGTGAAAAGATTTCTATTTTTAGCAATCACAGTAGGAAAGAACCCAATCACTAGACTTGAGTTACAGCAGGAAAGCTGAGTTATCCCAAAACTCATTTCTGAATGGTATCATTGAAGTGCGATGAGAATACAGTTATGCTCGGACTTTGGCAGCAACAAATATGTCAATTTTTCTTTTTCTATGGAACTTCAAAGCAAAAATAATCTTACTTCAAACAGCTCTGTGGTGGGCAGGTAATTACAGTACCTTAATGAAAAATTGAGGTGGACCCAACAGGGTGATGCCTCAGCTGAGAGGGATCCCCTAGAGTGTGACCAATTAATAATTCTGATATCAGCTTGTCTTGTTCCGTTTGCTATTTTCAAACCAAGCCTGAATTTCTTGTTAAAAAATTGCTCGATGTCTACCAAAGTATTCTTAATGTATTCTTTAGGAATACATATTCCTATTCTTTAGGAATACAGTTACCTCCCCAGTCATATTCTCCTTACAGGATAATAAGGCCGAGATGGTATTTGAGATCATAAATTTATTCGATGTGTAAGAAACAGCTCGGTGCTGTAAAGGGAAGACATTTGGATGAGTATTCTGACAGGATGAGATCAAATGGGCCCAAAGTTCTTCTTCATTTCTTTTCATCTTGAGGATACAAGATTAACAAGCAATACATTATGCTAAATATAGCATTATATATTATTCTCAGGCAATCAATGTATTATTCTCAGGGCGTAGGGAGCTCTGAATAGACCTTGGGCTGGGGGAGGGGGGGTGGCAGGGGCAGCATTTATACAGACACAAAACAAAGGTAGGCATTTACCATTACAAACTGTGGTTCTACTTCTATTGGCCTGCATGATGTTACTATACAAGAGTAACAATACTGCATAACTGCACCAGTAACAGGATGTTGTACACCTTCTGGTCTGATGTCTCTTATCGGTTATCTACATTTATGAACTTCTCTTCCCAAGAATAACATCACCTAAAAGAAACAGCCAAATCAAACTAGCTTGCGTGATAAACAAATGTTACACAATTCAGAAGAAATAAAAGATGGCGGACAGAGATCCAAGACAGCAATTATATCTTGCACTTTCTGAACACTGAAATCTGCTGAGCATTGCAGAATCCAATGAAACAATTACTGTCTTGTTTCTCACTCCCCTCAATTTATTACTCTGCATGTCATTCAGACAGAACCATTCATTGGGCATCAAATACATTTCTTTTTTTGTTACCTTTCAGGATAGAATGAAACCCTGATACTGTTTTTATTTACAAAAATGACAGCCCAGGATGCAGAATTAAATACTTGAATGCATACTGGAGCAAATGAAAACANTTTTTTTGAGAGAGAGAAAACACAGGGATCCACTGTTCTGTATGGACATAAAATAACAGCTGTACTTACAGCACAGCATACATGTTCCACTTTCACAGTTGTCACGATCATGAATATTTAAATTGATTACTAAGTGCCATGTCCTCTGATTGCTATTACTGCAGTTAGTAGGTTTAAAATATGATTTCTTTTTTTAAAAAATCCCATACAGAGAGAGGGGCAATAGACTCAGAGAGAACGAGAAGGAACACATATGTCAACATGTTATGCAATTTGGTTTTCACAGCCACAATCAGAATCCCTGCTTGTGATCAACTCAATGCAATGTTCATGTGAAAGGTTTGGTGGCAAAAGAGAAAGCACTTTAATAGCACCTTATCACACCGAAACGTCTTAAAGCACTTCAGCTGTAATTACTGTCGGTTTGGTTCAAATGGTAACACACTTGACTCAGAGGCAGAAGGTTGTGGAGATTTTTTTTGGAATATAATTTGGGATGCAATATGCTCAATGTATTGACCTGAAATTGAATGGAATCAGTGATGTGAGGGCTGAGAGTGCTACCACTGAACCACAAATTTCCTTCGGAGGATCCAGTTCAAGATTCTGGTCCTCACCTACAAAGCCCTCCATGGCCTCGCCCCACCTCACTCTGTGACCTCCTAACCCCCTACCAACCCGCCCGCTCCCTCCGCTCAGCCGGCTCCGGCCTGCTCCACGTCCCCCGCCCCACCACTGGCGGGAGAGCCTTCAGCCACTCTGCCCCCAACCTCTGGAACTCCATCCCCCAATCACTCCGCCTCACCCCTCCTTAGCCTCCTTCAAGTCCCGCCTCAAGACCCTCCTCTTCGACCATGCCATCGGTCACTCCCCCTCCCCTCCCTTCTCCCCCCTGACCCCAGAAATGCTGTACACTGTCCAGCGCCTTGGGACGTCTTCCCGACGTGAAAGGCGCTATACAAATGTAATCTTGTTGTTGTTGTTAAAGACCTCAACACACTGTTTGATAAGATCAGGGCGTTTGCAGCGCTCGCTGTGGGTCCCGGCCACCCATCACCCGACTGACTGGCTACCAAGTTTCCCCGGCTGCACACAGTCACTACACTTGTCAGGGATTACCTCACAGTGCGCAATAAAAACACAAGTCCTTGGGCTTTTTGTGTTTTTGCAACCACATGTAGTGACTGTGGGTAAACCAGGTTCCTGGAGCAGGGAGAGGGCAGAGTGAGCTAAATGTGGGGGATGATGTGGGTGTTTGGAGGCTCGGGGTTCCTGTCCCCCAATAAAACCACCACAAGACACTTACCCCCATCTCTCCCCCCAATAACACACCACGTGGAGGATCAACACATATACCCCCCTCCCTCCCCCCCTCCGCCTCTATTTACACCAGTTACCCCCACAAAATACAGTCAACACCACGTTGACAGCACATCCTGTGAAGCGCTTAGAGACGCCTAAGCGCCACGACGAGCCGCTGTGTCAGCTGTTGTCAGGTGGTGGCGGCTGTTGTTGGGCTCCAGCGCGGGGTCTCCGCGGCCTGGCCTCCAGCGAGGCCCCGGACTCGCCTCTGAAGCGCCCCCCGCGCCGCTCTCTCTGTCCCCGGGAGGGGGAGTCTGGGCCGGGGCTGGCTGGGGCCCGGGGCAGGGGGCCCGGCAGGGAGCCGGGGCAGGGGGCAGGGGCAGGGGGCCGGGCAGGGGAGGGCCGGGGGCAGGGGAGGGGGCAGGGCCGGGGGCAGGGGAGGGGGCTGGGGAGGGGGCCCGGGCAGGGCAGGGGGCCAGGGGAGGGCAGGGGGCCAGGGGAGGGCAGGGGGCCAGGGAGGGCAGGGGGCCAGGGGAGGGCAGGGGTCGGGGCCCGGGCTGGGACAGGGGGCCGGGGCAGGGGGCCAGGGGAGGGCAGGGGCTGGGCAGGGGGCAGGGGCTGGGCAGGGGGCAGGGGCTGGGCAGGGGGCAGGGCAGGGGGCCCGTGGCGGGGGGCCCGGGCTGGGGAGGGGGCCGGGGCAGGGGCAGGGGGGGCAGGGGGCTGGGGCAGGGGCCCGGGCTGGGAGGGGCCGGGGCTGGGGAGGGGGCTGGGGCAGGGGCCCGGGCTGGGGAGGGGGCCGGGGCTGGGGCAGGGGGCCGGGCTGGGGAGGGGGCCGGGCAGGGCAGGGGGCCCGGGCTGGGGAGGGGGCCGGGGCTGGGGAGGGGGCTGGGGCAGGGGGCTGGGGCAGGGGGCTGGGGAGGGGGCCGGGCTGGGGAGGGGGCCGGGCAGGGCAGGGGGCCGGGGCAGGGGGCCCGGGCTGGGGAGGGGGCTGGGGCAGGGGGCCGGGGCAGGGGGCCGGGCTGGGGAGGGGGCTGGGGAGGGGGCTGGGGCAGGGGGCCGGGCAGGGGGCCCGGGCTGGGGAGGGGGCCGGGGCAGGGGGCCGGGCTGGGGCTCGGGCTCCTCTTACCTGTCTGTGAGCGCGGTGTCCGGCGGCGGCTTCAATGTCACCAGAGCAGAGCGCGCGGGGAGGAACGGCTCCGGGTTCAAAATAACAGACACACAGAGAGAGGAGGGTCCAAAAACGTCAGCACTGAGAGAGGGGGAGTGTGAGAGAGAGAGAGAGAGAGAGAGGGGGAGTGTGAGAGAGAGAGAGAGGGGGGGAGTGTGAGAGAGAGAGGAGGGGGAGTGTGAGAGAGAGAGAGAGAGAGAGGGGGAGTGTGTGAGAGAGAGAGAGAGAGAGAGGGGGAGTGTGAGAGAGAGAGAGGGGGGGAGTGTGAGAGAGAGAGAGGGTGAGTGTGAGAGAGAGAGGGAGGGGGAGTGTGAGAGAGAGAGGGGGGAGTGTGAGAGAGAGAGGGGGAGTGTGAGAGAGAGAGAGAGGGAGTGGAGAGAGAGAGGGGGAGTGTGAGAGAGAGAGAGAGAGAGAGGGGAGTGTGAGAGAGAGAGAGGAGAGAGGGGAGTGTGAGAGAGAGAGAGAGAGAGAGGGGGAGTGTGAGAGAGGAGAGAGAGAGGGAGAGGGGGAGTGTGAGAGAGAGAGGAGGGAGAGAGGAGAGGGGGAGTGTGAGAGAGAGAGAGAGGGGGAGTGTGAGAGAGAGAGAGAGAGGGAGTGTGAGAGAGAGAGAGAGGGTGAGTGTGAGAGAGAGAGAGAGAGAGAGGGAGAGTGTGAGAGAGAGAGAGAGAGGGGAGTGTGAGAGAGAGGAGAGGAGAGAGGGAGTGTGAGAGGAGAGAGAGAGAGGGGGAGTGTGAGAGAGAGAGAGGAGTGAGTGTGAGAGAGAGAGAGAGGGGAGTGTGAGAGAGGGAGAGAGAGGAGGAGTGTGAGAGAGAGAGAGAGAGGAGAGGGAGAGAGAGAGAGAGAGGGGAGTGTGAGAGAGAGGAGAGAGAGGGGGAGTGTGAGAGAGAGAGAGGGGGAGTGTGAGAGAGAGAGAGAGAGGGGAGTGTGAGAGAGAGAGAGAGAGAGTGTGAGAGGAGAGAGACAGAGAGAGGGAGTGTGAGAGAGAGAGAGAGGGAGTGTGAGAGAGAGAGAGAGAGAGAGCGGAGTGTGAGAGAGAGGAGTGTGAGAGAGAGAGATGGAGAGTGAGAGAGAGAGAGACGGAGTGTGAGAGAGGAGAGGGGGAGTGTGAGAGAGAGAGAGGGGGAGTGTGGAGAGAGAGAGGGAGTGTGAGAGAGAGGGGGAGTGTGAGAGAGGGGGGAGTGTGAGAGAGAGAGAGAGAGAGAGGGGGAGTGTGAGAGAGAGAGGGGGGAGTGTGAGAGAGAGGGGGAGTGTGAGAGAGAGAGAGGGGGAGTGTGTGAGAGAGAGGGGGAGTGTGTGAGAGAGAGAGGGGGAGTGTGTGAGAGAGAGAGAGGGGAGTGTGTGAGAGGGAGTGTGAGAGAGAGGGGGAGTGTGAGAGAGAGGGGGGAGTGTGAGAGAGAGAGGGGGGAGTGTGTGAGAGAGAGAGGGGGGGAGTGTGTGAGAGAGAGGGGGGGAGTGTGTGAGAGAGAGAGGGGGAGTGTGTGAGAGAGAGGGGGGGGAGTGTGGAGAGGGAGTGTGAGAGAGAGAGGGGGAGTGTGAGAGAGAGAGGGGGAGTGTGAGAGAGAGAGAGGGGGATGTGTGAGAGAGAGAGGGGGGGAGTGTGTGAGAGAGAGGGTGAGTGTGAGAGAGAGAGAGAGAGGGGGGGAGTGTGAGAGAGAGAGGAGGGGGAGTGTGAGAGAGAGAGAGAGAGAGAGAGGGGGAGTGTGAGAGAGAGGGGGGAGTGTGAGAGAGAGAGAGGGGGGAGTGTGTGAGAGAGAGGAGGGGAGTGAGTGTGTGAGAGAGAGGGGGGGAGTGTGTGAGAGAGAGAGGGGGAGTGTGTGAGAGAGAGGGGGAGAGTGTGTGAGAGAGAGAGGGGGAGTGTGTGAGAGAGAGAGGGGGAGTGTGTGAGAGAGAGGGGGGAGTGTGTGAGAGAGAGAGGGGGAGTGTGTGAGAGAGAGAGGGGGAGTGTGAGAGAGAGAGAGGGGGAGTGTGTGAGAGAGAGAGGGGGGGGAGTGTGTGAGAGAGAGGGGGAGTGTGAGAGAGAGGAGGAGAGGGGGGAGTGTGAGAGAGAGAGGGGGGAGTGTGAGAGAGAGAGAGAGAGAGGGGGGGGGAGTGTGTGAGAGAGAGGGGGGGAGTGTGTGAGAGAGAGGGGGGGAGTGTGTGAGAGAGAGAGGGGGAGTGTGTGAGAGAGAGAGGGGGGGAGTGTGAGAGAGAGGTGAGAGAGAGAGAGGGGGGAGTGTGTGAGAGAGAGGAGAGAGGGGGGAGTGTGTGAGAGAGAGGGGGGAGTGTGGAGAGAGGGGGGGAGTGTGTGAGAGAGAGGGGAGTGTGAGAGAGAGAGGGGAGTGTGTGAGAGAGAGGGGGAGTGTGTGAGAGAGGGAGTATGTGTGGGTGAGTATATGTGTGTGAGAGTGAGATACAGAAAGAGTGAGTGTGTGAGAGACAGAGAAAGTGGATGAGATAATATTGCATTTGATATAGCGCTTTTCACATCTTCTCGACGTCTCAAAGCGCTTCACAGAACACACTGTAAAGTGAATTGACTGTATATTTGTGGGCGAACGCGGCAGCCAATTGCGCACAACAATGTCTCACAAGCAGTCATGGATTGAAAATGACCAATTTTATTTATTTATTTTGGAAGTATTATTATTAGGTGTGTGGAGTAAGGAAACTTGCCCAAGGTTTCGCCCTCTGCCTGGAATTGAACTCAGGTCTCTCACTTGTAAAGCGAGTGCTCTAACCACTGAGCTACAGGACTCCAATAGAGAGTGAATGTGTGTGAGAGCGATTGTGTTTGTGTGTGACAGACAGTAAGTGAGAAAGAGAATGTAAGAGAGTGTGTGAGAGAGAATAAAGAGGGTGTGTATGAGTGAGACAGAGAGTGTATGAGAGACACAGAGAAAGTGGGTGAGGTAGAGAGTGTGTGTGACAGACAGTGAGCGAGGAAGGTAGAGAATGAATGAGTGTGTGTGTGTGAGAGAGAGACACAGAGAGTAATAATAATCCTTGCATTTAATATGGATCTTTATCATGTTTTCGAGACATCTCACAAAGCGCTTCACAGAATATACTGTAAAGTAAATTGACCGTATATTTTGTGGGCGAAAGTGTGTGTGAAAAAGAGACAGTGAGGCAGAGAGAAAGATAGTGTGTGAGAAACAGAGTGAGTGTGGCAGAAAGTGAGTGACAGAGTGTATGAGAAAGTGTGAGAGAAAATGTGTGTGACGGTTTGTTACAGATAGAAAGTGTGAGTGACAAAAAGAGAGTGTAACAGTGAGAAAGATAGTATGTGAGATATTGTGTGTGACAGAGAATGTGAGATAGAAGGTGTGTGTGAGATAGTGAGAAAGTGAGTGTGCAAGAGAGGGTGTGACAGAGAGTGTGTCTCAGAGAGAGAGTAAGACAGAGAGAAAAAGAGAGTGTGCATGACTGAGAGAAAGATATATACTCACTTACATATTGTGAGACAGTGAGAGACTAAAATACTGATTCTGGGAGTCACTGAGGGAGACACAGAGACAGAGAGAGTGCAATGATTAAGACAATCCAAGCCAGACTGATAGATCCATTTGTATATGCCACCTACACTTGGAAATTTCCCAGTCTCCAGAATGGGATGTGAACTTACTCCCTGGAAGTACGCCACCTGTTTCCAGTGACAGTTTAGTATTGGGCACAGTTTAGCAAGAGTCAATTTTGCAAGGCTTGGGACCTCAAAGTGCGTGTTCGGGGTACTGCTGGAGTTCAACAAGCTAAAACAGTGTAGCTTGCAAGCTTCCCGACCTTGTCCAGCAAGGACCACTCTACCCATACGGGCTTTGGCTTGTACGGTTAGCAGGAGTTTAGTGGGAAGAATCGATTGTCTGCCCCTCAAAAGTTGTGCTGATTAGCGGAGCTGGGTTTTCCATCACCAGCAGTTCTCTGGAGTACCGTGGAACTGCTTGGCTCGGGAACTGAACTACTAAGAGCACCATGAAAGATTGACTCAATTCTGACACTTGTTGCTGAGCGTGTCACCTTAGACCCAGCTCAGCCTTGTCTGAAAATAGATTGTTGGAGGACTCATTTTATCTGGGAGCTTGTTGGCCAGTACACACGGGAGAAACTCCCTTTCTCTTTTTCGAATAATGTCATAGGATCTTTAGCATTCATTTGAATAGGCAGACTGGATCTCGATTTAAGGTCATATCTGAAAGACGGCACTCTGACAATTCCCAGCATTGCATTGGAATGTCAACCGAGACAATCACCCTAATAGCTGTTTGTGGGACACTGCTTTGAGCATCTGCTTCCTGCATTTCACTCATAAACATACACAGTCAAAAGCACTTCACAGTATATCCTGTGTGTGATTTGACACGTCTTGATGACATGATAAGGCTCTATATCAAATGCAAGGATTATTATTAATAAAGTGTTGACTTGGAACTTGAACCCATAACCTTCTGACTCAAAAGGCAAGAGTGCTATCAGCTGAGCCAGGCTAATACTTTGTTTCTTTCTCTGTTTTTCTCTCCCCTTCAGTGTTTCTTCTCTCTTTATCATTGTGTTTCTCACTCCCTCAATGCTTTTCTCTTTCTTGCTCTCTCTCACTCTCTCTTGCTCTCTCTCTCGCAATGCTTCTCTATCTCAATGGGTTTTTTGTACGCTTTATAAATCTCTCTTTTCCCTTCAATGTTTTTGTCACTCTGCGTTGCCCCATGTCCCAATGTTTATTTTATTCTCATTGTTCCCCTCTCCGTGTTTCTCTCCATTAGTTTTCTCTCTGTTTTTCTCTCAGTGTTTCTTGCTCTGACAATATGTTCTGTGTGTGTTTCTCTCTGTTTTCTCACCTTCTGCACTTATCAGTCTCATTGTTTCTGTGTTACAATAGCATTTCTCTCTCCCTGTATTTCTCAGTACCACAATCTACACTCTGTGAACAAGGCACCCTCTTGGTGACATCATCCACAGACACAGGGTTAACTTCCACATACATGAGGATAACACCCAAATCTACCTTTGCATTTCTACCCTTGATTCCAGGTCCTCTGATATTCTGACCACTTGTTTGTCAGTCCCACTCTACCTCTGTGACCTAATACAACCCTACTGACTCAGCTAT